GCAAAAATATAACAAATAAAAATAATTCTCCGCATAGATGCTAAAGCATTAAAAACAAATGTAGTTTAAGTATATAAAATATATGGCTTAATTAAAACTGTAATGTTTTTATTACCCAAAATCTTGATCAGACCCTTCATCATCTTCATCATCGTCTAAAAAATAAAATTTGAAATTAATTGTTATCAATATTTAAATTCTATTATATTTTATATAATTAAATGGTTTATTTACAAGTTTCTTTTTTATTTCTCCGTGTGTACGCCCGCCGTGAAGTTACTGGTCCAGGTTCAGCATCACCATGCATTAAGCTGTTTCTATAAATGACCCAAGGCTGCCAATCTTCACTGCGACTTGAGGGGACTGCTGAAGTTATGTGTTTATCCAAATAGTTGAGACTATAAATGTAAATGTAACAGTTAGGATAAGTAATTATAGAATACTAAAAATTCAAAATATCCATACACAATGCGTTTATCTTGTTTAAGTAGTTTGTTGGTAAATTCAGCTAATATCTCCAAAAATGCAACATGTGGAGGTGGTACTGATGGATCATCTTGAGCAATTCCTTCATCAGTACCTACAGCGAATAAAACACCTTCACGGTGTAAAGCTGCCATAGCTTCACGATTTTTTAATGCATCCAATCCAAATGATAAGGCAAATCTTTTAGCTAATTCCTGATATAAAAAAAAAATTCAGTCAATTTAATTTAGTTATGTTAATCATAGATAGACTATACCTTTAAACTACTGAACTCTTGAGAAGATCTTGATATACGGAATGTGCCACAGTTAATTTGTAGTTCTCTAAATGATGTGATTAAACTGACAACCATAGTTCTTGCACAAATTACTTTATTAATTTCACGTGCCTTTCCAATTGTAGTTTTAATGATATCTCCATATTCATTATATGACTAAATATTAAAAATAAAAAGATAATAAATAATCATTTCCTATTTAATAATTTAATAATAGAATTTGATTTCATACCTTGACATAATGCTTAAAGATATCTGCTGCACAAGTAACTGGTATCATCCCATACACAATTAATTTACAATAAGATGCTAAAAAGTTTCTTCTTTTATGTAGTTCTTCAATTTTTGAATGTTCATCTTGTACACCTGTTTATTAATTTGGATTTACTAGTCTAATTATATTTTTAAACACTAAATACATTTAAAAACAATTAATATAATAATCACCTTCTTCTTCATAAACAAACACATTTTTTTGAATAAAATTATTCAATAAATCTTGAAGTTCTTTGTCAGAATCATAAATTAGATTTCCCAAAACTGGATAATGTTTAACGCCCAATTGATTACAAAAAACGACAAGTAAGTCACAAATTGATATATAAGCCTATTCAAACAATAATTATTAAAAATTAATTTTCTACAWTTCACAATAAATAAAAATACCTCTTCTTTGAATAAAGGATTAGCAGAATGTGCCAAAATTCCTCGAAGAACATCCATGAAATCAAAGAGCTTAGTCTTTACTTGAGCCACTTGTTCTTCTATATCTTCATTACGTCCATTTTCCAAAACATTTTCAACACTGTGTAATTCCCACATTGTAGCAAACATACATGCAGAAATGCTATATTTGATTGCCTTTTATAACAAGTAAAAAATAATATGATAAATAATCAATTTTAAAATTTAAACTAGTATTTAAATTACTTCTTCTGGTAGTGGTTTTGAACCTTCATGGGCCATTTTTAAATCTTTAAAAATTATATCCCACAAATTCCAAGGCCCCAAGTTATGACATGAATAAAATATAGAAATCTTCTTCATACTATTCACCACATTGTAGATTTCATCATCATCYGGTTTTTCATTCTAAAAATAATGTTTATAAGATTGAATAAATAATAAATATAATTGAAAAAAATGGTTTRATATTTCATGAAAATAATTMATCTATTAATTTATTTACTTACACCTTCAATTAGATTGTTCCAATCATCCATAGCTTCTCTGTGTTTATTAGTAATGGTGTCCATTAGTGTACTTTTTTGAACACTACATCTAGTAGCTAATGTAGAGTTGTTTTTTGAACAAAGAATTTCTAAAGTTTTGGCACAAGTTTCAAGAACCTCRTCATTTTGGTGTTTGTCAGTTACCAAGTGTATTTTTTTAAGTAATAAATCTAAATTCTAAAGTAACAATAAAATGCATCAAAAATAAAGTTCATATAATATGAAGATTTAGTAAAGAAAGTTATTCATATAAATTTACTTACAGATTCTTGTCTTGATGTTGTATAAATATCTAA